GAGATTTTTTTTTAATTATTTACTCATATCTACGTCAAAATCCTTAGAACATGATAATAATATCTTCTAATTTCTGGTTGTGGGCAGTTAAAATACAAACATTTAAATTGTGAAAAACAAATACAAAATTTGTATATTTGACGAACCTATTTGAATGAAATTTAATACACAGAAACACGAATCCACGATTGTAAAACGTTTTATTTCTATTTAATATAACTAAGTCAAAGCCACCAGTTACAGTTAGTAATCTAGATGCGCAATGACGGCTGGCTCGCCCGTCATACTCGTTGACGGGTGCTGTTTGTAGGGACTGGTCTGCACATGTTTATTTATTTATTTAATATTTAATAATACATATACAGTACCTATAAAACTGTAAAGTTATACATAAACGAATTGAAAAGAGTAACTGTTAAGTTACCTGCGGGATAGTTCCCGCAAAATTCCGTAGAATTAGTATTCTAGCAGATAATGACATTCTGAACCCACAAGTAGAATCATAAAAAACTGACCTTTTATATAATAGCTTATTATAAATAGATTATTTCTATTCTATAACATTGACTAGTATAATATTAGAAGCTTTCACATTTTATTTAAACATCAACATCTTCAAAAATAGATTTAGTCCCTGGAGTAAGGAGTAATCAATGGGTCACGAAAACATTACCCTTCTTCGCCATAACATAGGCTAAAGTGTTTATGTATACGTCCCATATCTCGCAAGGTGGGAAGGCAACATGGTAAAGCTTTTAAACCATCGGTCATGTAGGCCCTTCCGATGAAAAGTGGCCACTTACTTCGTCAAATGCCAATCCGTACCGACCCGGCAGTTGGGTGATTTAGACCCTTGCATATCGGCATAGAGTAAGTATATTATTAAACAGATGGTCAATTTAATAAAATAAAGAATTGTGTGCCTAATACATTTATTCGAAATAGTTTTCATATTTTAATAATATACATATATAATATTTATTTTAATTTGGCCGTGTGGTCCCGTCATAGAATAGGCCACCCCTTCCATTCCCGTTGGTGTCTTAAAAATCGACTAAGGAACGGCGAGAGATGGGCAACAGCGTCCCTCTTAAAACATCTCTAAAGCTTAACTGCAGTTGCCAATCCGCCTGCCACGCGTGGCAACTACTGGCATAACCCCCAAGGGAGAGGCTTATGTTCAACAGTGGACGGTTTAGGGCTGATATGAGGATGATAATATAATGATAAATATTACGTTATTATACACATCTGTCTCCTATTAGGATAAGCATTAACAATGGAACACGAAATGCACCGATTTCTTTAATAATTTTCAACCAATGTTGTCAATTTGGTTGTATTTTTTTTTAAACTTTATTATCTTATAACTCCATCAGTTACAAACCGATTTGGAAAGACCTTTTTTTTTGTAAAAAAAAAGAGTTACTTGCAGATTTGTGTCGTAGAAATCTTATCAACATCAGTTCTGTAATTTAGTTTTTAAATCAAAGTAAATTTTTTTCTACAAGGAAAACTTTTTTCTGCAACCCAATCTTGAATTTATCAGTTAATGTATTGTCAAATATCTTATTGTAAGTAAACGTTTAATTTAAAAATACCTATTACACTATACTTTTACCTTACTTTTTAAGATGCCTACGTTACTCTCGTTTTTTTACCGTAAAGCACTTGTGCAAGCAGAGATGTATTGAAGGCTAAGATTACTGAATCTTCGAAAATAGCAACGCAAAAAGAGTACTGCTGACATCACAGTATATTTTCTGGCATCCATGGTTCTATTAGGGTCTGTAGACTACGGTTATTACTCTCCATCAAGCCGCCAATCAATATATCTGGCTTTCGGGGTTTAAAAAAAAATGTTATTTAATTATGCCTTTTTTATGAAAGAACAAAAGGAGCATTATTATTTTTTATACACCAGTTAAAATTAAGTTGGATTCTACGAAAATTTATACTTTTCATCTAAAGCTATACTTTTTAAAATAAAAATTTTTCATTATACGGTCGTGATCTTTTAAGAAGATGAACTTAAAAATTTACTGCTTACCTATTACAAAGGAAAGTTTTTTTTTAATGGGTGAATATGGAATGGCAACTCCTCCGGCGCTATCGGTATATGCTCGCGGGGCACCAGTGAGGATGACAGGTGAGAATAAAAGCAGATGGAGACTTTGTACAAAAGTCGATTGCTTGGGTACCTCTGTCCCATTCGTGTTTCAACCGTGAAGCAGTTGTGTTTGCATGGCTGTGTTTCGGTTAGAAAGGTGAAATATAGCAGTGAATTTACAGGGTACAGAGGAATAACAACTGAGTCCTCAGGAATGCCAACGCATGGGGGGTATCATGGGCGAAACAATATACACTGTTATGTCCATGGAAGGGCCATGTCTATAGGCGACGGTTACCACTTTCTATCAGGTGGGCCGTCAGTTTGTTTGCCATTCTAAGTTGTATAAAAAAAAGATGAATTAGCCCACCGTGACCAATTCAACAAGAATTAACCACATGGTTTCAAGAGGAAACAACGTGGGGATCGACCTAATAGAGTATATTACTAGCAGTGGGGCTATCAGGCCCCATTACTAATAATCTCTATCAAGGAAAGGTATTTTTTTCATGGGTAATAATGGAATAGTCACTTCACCTGCGATTGGTATACACCGGTAGGGCACCAGTGAATGATGAGGATGAATCAGGTCAGTTAGCCCATTGTGACGAGTTCAACAAGAATTGTTCACGATGGTTTCCAGGGAGAACCACGTGGAGGTCGACCTAATAGGGCATATTGCTAGCAATGGGGCTGTCAAACTCCATTGCTAACAATCCCTTTCCACCCAAGGAAAGGTATTAGCCTAATATATATTTTTGAGTTTATTTATTAACAATATGATATATTTTATAATTCTGTCACCAAAATAAAATAAAACTAGGACAAAATTGAATGTTAAATATTTGATAAACATAACAATATTGAATTATTAATAGTTGATTATTTAATTTAATAATAAAATAAACGTAATTAGTTGACTAACTTGTCTAATATAGTAAATATGAGTACATATTTTTAACTCATTTGAAAAAGTAGTATGTTTAACCTACTTAAGTAAGATATGTCGCATCTACACAGCCTAATCTTTGTACCAAATATAACATACTAGCGACATATTATAATATAAACAGAAATATAAATCAGAATAATATTTCGGTTGTTACTTACACTTCACCTATCAAAGTTGGTGGTACCCTGCTAAGTTATTCACAAAATTTCTAAGTGCTCAGATGTTGAAACTTATTTTATTGAAAATAACGACTCAAGAAACTGGAAACTAACTACATACGAGTCTTGTGGAAGTTACATTAAATATATTCAATAATATGACTTAATATTTTAATGTAAATTACTTATTGAAGGCTGCGTACATTTTAATGGTCGAATAAGTAAGTATTAAAAAAGGAAAGTAAAATAACATCACTATTTAATTTTGCAAGCTTTTGACAGCTTTTTTCAGATATATATCATCTTTATATTTGTTTTATAATTGTACTAGATCATATGCGTTTAGATGAACCATTTAGTAGCAATAACTTATCCAAAAATAGTCAGCCAACTGTCGGCTGAGATTATACTTTAATCTGTTTAAAAGTCTTTTATCAGACTGTACGAAAATTTAATATTGATAATATAATAAATACAAGTAAAGGATTTGTGTCATAAAAGTCACCAATTTCAGAATTAATATAATATTAATATAATATTCACCAAAGAGACTTTGTACAAAAGTCGATTGCTTGGGTACCTCTGTCCCATTCGTGTTTCTACCGTGAAGCAGTTGTGATTGCATGGCTGTGTTTCGGTTTGAAGGGTGGAATATGGCGTGAATTTACAGGATAAGAGGAATAACACCTGAGTCCTCAGGAATGGCAACGCATGGGGGGTATCATGGGCGAAACAGTATACTCTGTTATGTCCATGGTACCACTAATGTCTATAGACGACGGTTACCACTTTCCATCAGGAGGACCGTCAGCTTGTTTACCATTCTAAGTTGCATAAAAAAAAATGCTGACCAACTTAAATAAGGTCCCAGATTCGATTTCCGATTGAGATAATAAAGAAAACATGTTTCTAAATTGTTTTGGGTGATCTTTGTAGTGCCACGAGTTCTTAGTCGTATTGTCATATCATACAGGCTATCTCAGTTTAAAATAAAATGGGGGTAAAGAGGTTTCTTCAGGGTCGGCAACGCACGCGTAATACCTCTGGTATTGCAGGTATTCATAGGCTACGGTAACCACTTACCATCAGGTGGGCCGTATGCTTGTTTGCCACCTCAGTGGTATAAAAAAAAATAATAAATAAAAATAAAAAAAGACCCGTAAAACATTTCTCTTTTCTTTTTCTACAGTTACTATTTATTCCCGTGATATTTTATTAAAATACAACAAAATGGTTATCAATTCATACAAAACGATATATATTTTCTCTTTAATGGCGTACATTTGTGCGGCTTACGGGTTTTTTGACATCGATGAAATTACATCAACAACTATGCGGAGACTTCCAAGGGACTTCTCGTTGGCGGTGAAGGATATAGCAGAGGGCTTGCCAGCGAAGACTGTGACCATAGTGAGAGGGGAGTCAACTAATATCAGGTAATATTTATTTTCTTTACTAACTACTCCCCGCAGTTTTGCCAATGTGCTTCCTTATCTTTACTGATCCTTACTAATATAAAGTGACATTAAGTATGTTTGTTTATAGCAGTTAAACAGCTTAACCAGGGGGAAAGGGATTGTTAGAAAGGGGAATAGGAACCCTATTACTAGTACCTTAGCAGTTCGACCTCCTCGGGATACCCCTGTTGTGATTGATTCATTAGCGAATCATGATGGGCACCTAAACTGGTGCTCCACTTAACGAGGCGGGGTCAGATTCCATTATCATTTATTAAAAAAAAACGGCTTAACTAATTGCTATTAAATTTGGTAACATATACTTACTATAAAGCATATATTATATTTCCAAACTGTTTTGAGCAAGAGATCTCTTTTCCTAAAGAACTAATATCTCAAATCAGCCAAATTAAAAATACTTCTCTAGTTTTTTCAGATACAAAATGGTTGAATATAACTTGACATAGTTTTTTCTCAACAGAATTTAATAAAATAAATAACCATAAATTTTTAGTAAATATCAAGTATTTTTATTGTATCAGCCGTTAACTAAACATACCCTCCCCAAAAAAGGAGATTTTGCTAGTAGTTGCCACGCTTAGCAAGCGAGTTGACAACTGAAGTTTGGTTTTGGGTGATGTTTTAAGAAGGACGCTCCTGCTCAAATCCCCACCATAAGCTATTATCACCATAAAATATCAAGTGTAATTAATAATTATTAATACACTTCACGTAAACTTTCTTGATAAGTATCAAGAAAGTTTATATATATAAAATACAGTATCTTGAAAGTTTCAAGTAAGAACTTGTGTTTCCTAATAGGGATCGATCCTTAGATCTCGTCGACCCCCAAAATCAGTTTTCATTTATGTCGATCCGTAGAAATCCGACTTTGAATCCAAAAGAGCGATCTGGGAAAACCAGGTATAAAGGTTGAGGAAATACTATATTAAATAAACTATTTTTACATCGATTAAAATTACATGTACTAACTGGTCAGTGCATGAAAGATTCTTTATTATTTATTGTACACAAAACCTACTATTAATCACAATTCATTATAAACAATGTACAAAGGCGAGCTTATCTCTAATAAGAGATTTCTTCCAGCAAAACCTTTTCATGTAAATTGTGTTATTTTAAAAATAAAAATAGGCAGTCATACGATCTGCATATATTGTATAAATACATAAGATATGTATACACAAAGAATAATACAAACTGCACATTATAAATTACATAAAATACATAAACCCTATAAACATACACATATACTTACACATACATACATATACATATATATACACATTCGTCCTGACTTCGCACGGATAAATAAATTTTTCTTAAATAAAATATAAAGTATGGATATAAATAAAGCGGAAAAGTTGAACGCTATAATCTCTGGTAATTTCCAATCGATTTTGAAATATTCTTTCTGGTAGTACTGGTACAAAATATTTACCTTAACATCAATACAATCTTCTCTCTTTTTTTTTTTTGTAAAGTAATGCACTCGGGATACGTAGCAATTTTAGCTTACTCAAAATAAACCCTTGATGGAGTTTTGAATTTATTTACTCTACCTGTGACGGCGACGTCAATCGCCCGGCTAAATTATATATCTTCCCATGGGAATGAGGCAATTTGACGTAGTAAAAAGTTTCTGTATATTGACCCAGATACCAAGATATGATCGCAACAAATTTCAAAAAAGTCCATCCAGATGTTTTCTGCGTGAAGAAAACGTAGTTGCAGCAATATATCCTAACTTTTACCCGCAACTTCGTCCGCATGACCGGGATATGTTCACTGACTGAGATAAAAAATATATCAATATAAAAAATTTCATAACGATTGTTAAACCATTAAGGCACTGTAAAGTAACAAACAAACTCACTTTTACATTTATAATATTAGTAAGAATTAATGATACGGTCGGGCTTCTTTTTTTTTGTTTATCTATTCACAAAATATGTTAATATTACATGAATTCGCCAAACTCATGATAATTTCTTGGCGAAAAAAATACTCTTTAAAACATGCTAATTATTACAGTGGTTTAAAATTAAATACCAATATACACCAATATGTCCAGCAGTGGACGGATAATAGCTGAAATGATAATGGTGATACATAAATATATACGTACCAATTGTCATGGTTTATCCGTTATGGCGCCAGGAAATAAAAAACAAACAAACTTACATATTTATAATACCTATTAGTCAAGAAAATAAAATAAAGAAAAATCTATTTTGTACAAACATACGCCAGCACTCACACAGGAGTTAAAAATAAGTAAAACAAAAAAATAATAATATTGGCATGCATGACAAAGTGCGTGCGTGCGTGCGTGCGTGCGTGCGTGCATGCATGCGTGTATACATGCATACCTGAAGAGACAGCACTTCATAATTTTCTTTTCATTATAATAGACTGACTGACCAGACTTCATTCTCATACTGCCAGTGTACGAGTATACCGATAACACAATCGTGGATACCATTCTATTTTCTCATGAAAACCACAAGTGTCCATTTTTTACTATTTAAGTTATAAATGTAAAAAACAACATATTCAATTTTTTTTTTCTTTCTTGTTTCTATAAAGTAATTATATGCTACATTTTTCTGTTACAGGTCTCAAGATATATTCGAATTATTATGTCTTTTAAACAAGCATCATATCCAAGTAATCAATTTAAATATCACATCGAAAGAATACAAAGATAAGGTTCATTTTTTATACTCCTCTTAAAATATAGTAGTAACCTGGATGACCGCACATTGCTCGGTATTTTTTTGGCTTAGTGTTGCTTAACAACGCCATCTAATGTCAAATGGTTTTAGTGTTGCTGTGTCGGTAAAGCAGTTAGTTGCGAGTCGATAAAGAGTTATTGATTTGACTTTTATTTTTGTACCGAAACATCGCCAATAGGATAATTTTTTTTCGTGTTTTTTTTTAGAAAATATACTTAATATATTTATTTTATACTTTATTTTATACTTTATTTTATACTTTATTGTATACACAATAAAAGTTACATAATAGCTAACAAGAAAAAAGGATAACAGACTCGTAAGTTTTTGTTCTTGTAACAGATGAGGTAAATTGATAAAAATAAATAGCTAGTTACTGCATTTAATATTATAATTATATAAGAGTACTTTATCTTACTATTATTTTATTTTTTCCAGTATTACGAATTCTTAAAAAAAGCGCTGGATATATCGGAAGAACGCACAAGTTTAATATTATGTGAACCTTATGAATGCGAAAACATTCTTATTGAGGTGATTGATTATGAATTTGATTTACTATCAAACTCTGGTTTACTTGTCTATATGTAACAATTATCGCCGTGTGGTTCCGGGATAGAACGGGCCACCCTTTTGCCTTCCCGTGTATGTCGTAAGAGACGACTAAGGAAGCTTAATTGTCAAGAAATGGCCAGTAGCGTCTCTCTTAAAATATCACCACAAACTTAACTGCGGTTGCCAACCTGCCTGCCAAAACTAATAGTAAAACCCTCCATAAGGGAGAAGGCCTATATTTAGCAGTGGACAATTAACGGCTGATATTATTATTTAACAATTACCATCAACTTCAATATTTAATGTGATAAATGCAAAAGTTTGTAATGATGAATAGATGTTGGACGTTTGTTAGTCTTTCACGCAAAAACTACTGAACGAATTTGAATCAAATTTGTTACATAGGTAGGTTATATACTCTATCTTATCAGATAGAATACTTTATATACCGATTTGCACGGGTGAAACCTCTGGATACAGCTAGTATAATATAATATTTAGTTGACAGAAAACAACCTGATTCATCGCACAATCCTGTACATCTTTTATTGGCCAAGTGGATCTATCAGTGACAGATTCCTGTACACTATCAGGGAAGCAATGAGGGTTGCTGTCATCACAAATCCCAGAGAAAGTGTGTAAGTATTAAGTAAAAAATTCAAAAGGCCATCCGGATGAGTACCTCTGTCCTACCCATGTTTCTGCTATAAAGTAATTGTGCTTCAGTTTGAATGATAGTAATTTCATTTTTTTATAACGTGTTATTACGTGTCATGTCCCCGTGTTCACACAAGATGGTAAAGTGTAGCAAATGCGATACAGTTTTTAAGTGCAATTACAACCGGAATACAAAATTTTTTAATTGCAAACAATAATAATTATTAGATATCTAAAAAGGTAATAAACATATTTGTATCATGTATCTCGTATCTATGTCGGAACCCTATTTATCTTACACAATCGGTTTTTTAATACATCTGGCCATTTAATAAACTGGGTAATTAATAATTCTTGCTCAGCATATGAAGGCTTCACCGTGTGGTTCCGGCATGGAATAAACCACTCCTTCCTTTCCCGTGGGAGTCGTAAGGTGCGACTAATAATACGAGAATTTTTTTTATACAACTTAGAATGGCAAACAAGCTGACGGCACACCTGATGGAAAGTGGTAACCGTCGCCTATAGACATGAGCAGTACCATGGACATAACAGAGTATACTGTTTCGGCCATGATACCCCCATGCATTGCCATTCGTGAGGACTCAGGTGTTATTCCTCTGTACCCAGTAAATTCACGCCATATCCCACCCTTCAAACCGAAACACAGCCATGCAAACACAATTGCTTCACGGTTGAAACACGAATAGGACAGAGGCAAGCAATCGACTTTTGTACAAAGTCTCCCTCTGGTACTGGAACTGCTGCCTATCTGTCAACTGTTAGTACTACTAGTACTAATAGTCGACAGATAGGTAATAGCATCCCTCTTAAAATATCTCCAAGACCTAACTGCGGTTGCCAACTCGCCTGCCAAACATGGTAACTATTGGCAAAACTTTCATAAGGGGGAGGCCTGTTGTTCAGCAATGGGCAGTTAACGCCTAAAATGAAATATAAAAATAAAAATGAAATATAAAAGTTTCAATGAGAAAATGACGCTATATAAAGTTGAAACACTACTAAAACAGCTGTCTAAGTTAAGTAGTGAATAAAAAAGCCAAACGTTTCCCAGAGTACAAGCAACAGCAGCTGATTGATTGGCCCAACCAGCCGCCTACGGGTATTTCTAAAAATTACATTTCTCCCGAACGGAGCCCAATAAAGCTGCACAGAGAATACAAAGGTCCGAACTATCACGTACTTTGTAATTCGATTGGCCCGAACGCCGATTGAGACTTGGCCAAAACATATTTTATGACTGCCAAGGAAAATATACAATTTATTGGCTACGAAATGATAAGCCTTTTGTATTTCGTGTGTTTCACACGCATAACTTCTTCTTTGATACCGTTAATTATTTTATTACATATAAACTATATTTTGAGCTAAAATAAACAAGGGTTGCCATCGATGAAATTAATTTTATTTGATTGTTTAGTAGTTTTCTGAAATCTATTTCAAAATCTGCAATGTTATTATAACCTTTCACGATTATTTTTTTTCTATTAAAACTATTATTTAAAAGAAAAAATCCTTCATTAAATTTTAATGTGTGATAATAGACGGTCACGTGATATTTGAGTTTAAATGCCATATTTAATACAATTACGCTGGTAGATAATAAAAAATAAAGTACGCTTATGTGGTAGTCTTGTAAACGACAGCCAAAAATCCCGAATTTATTTTAGAAAAATTAAATGATATCGATTTATTTTTAATGAATAAAATTGTATAATTATTGTTTACCTGTAAACTATCCAACATCTTCATATTTAATTCTTACAACTGTCAAATACCCAATTATATTAATACATTACCTTTAGTTTTTTTTTTTTTTATGCAAGTTAAAATGGCAAAAAAGCTGATGGCTCACCTTATAGAAAGTGGTAACCGTTGCCTATAGACATGAGCAATACCATGAACATAACAGAGTATACTGTTTTATGCAAACATAACTGTTTTATGGTAGAAACACATATGGGACAGAGTTTCCCAACAAAAAACTTGTACAAAGTCTCCCTTTGGTATACCAATTTTTTTTTAATGTAAACTTAACGCTCTAGACTTTAGGATTAAATTCAAATATCTGTCACAGTTTTCGAGTATACTACAACCAAGCGACACCGGATCATCTTCATCACTTTTCCTTGGTGAACTGGTGGTCGGGCAGCCTATACAAATCGCCTGTACTTCCTCCAGCTGATAAAGTCTATAAAAATTTTAAAGGAAGAGTATTCCGTGTTCCCGTACTGCATGTAAGTGTTACCATATTAAAAAATAAACCCATACATATTACACGTAGCGCCATCTAGACCCAAACTGAGTAAACCTTGTAATGTTGGTACTATACTACTGATTAACTTTTAAACTATCACGTTATATAGTTTATGGTTTATAAAAGACGGAAATTAACGCGACCAATTTAAGTGAGCTGTTATAATTTGCTTTTAATTATATTTTCATGTGATTATAATAAAGTAATTCTAATAATATTTAAATCTCAACCTTTGTACTCGTACTACCAATGTTTTACAAATAAAAACTAACTTGAATTGTGACAAAATTAGTTATTTTATTCTAAAAATTAAATTACTGAATCAATTTTGATTAAATTTCTATGGAACCAATCTATAAGCATAAACCTCTTAAACGAAAAAAATAATTTTCCAAATCAGATCACAATTGATGGAGTTATGAGATAACAAACAAAAAATAAATACAACAGAATCGATTACCTCCTTCTTTTTGAAATCGATTTGAAAACATAATCGTAAAGAAATTCAAACGAATTCCGATCTTCCGTATGGAAGTCAGTTAAAAATGTGCAATTTATTAAAATGTATTCGCTCCTCAGGCACCACCGTGGCATTTTGTTAAATACAACAACGATTCTACAGTCAATGTTACGGGAGGGAGGGATGACAAATTGCTGGCACTGCTCGCTAAAAAACTAAATTTCAGGTAAACATTGCTATAACATAGAAGCTTAAATCTCATACTCATATTAATTTATCTTCTTAAAGTGCCATCTCCTATCGGAGGTTGGTGATCATCATGGCGATCTTAACCTTGCCCTAAAAAGGAGATTCCTTTTTAGTCATGATATTAACTCATAAGGTTGCATATTGTAAAAATCTTTTAGTGTTTTTTTTTTATACAACTTAGAATGCAAATAAGCTGACGTCCCACCTGATGGAAAGTGGTAACCATCGCCTATAGACATGAGCAGTTTTATTCAAATTAATAATTGGTTAATCATAAAATAAAATTGTATAATGATTGGTAAAGAAATTTCAGAAGGTTTTATGAACACACATTTTGCATCCCAAGATGGTAATCTTTGAAAAGCAGAGGCGGTATAAGATGAGTCTCTTTCAAACTCTGAGACCGGGAACTGTGGACTCGTCCACAGTCTCATAGTCTAAAAAGCTTCGCGGTTAATTCATTAGATTTTTTTTAAATACAGGCAAAATACATTTTGCGTGAGGCCCTTAGGTGACGACAAAAGACGTCTTTTTGTATTATCAAAAAGTCTCACGCGAATGTGTGTCTATAGTACAGTATAGTATTTAGTATAGTATTTCTGCATATTCTAAAAGTTGACTGGCAGAGAATATCTACAGCATTAAGTCTACCTCTTGTACCACAGTTTTATTGGTCAATAAATTTTAAATAAATAAATGTATTTTGTTTACAAGAAATTTTGCTCCTGCTTCACCACTATTGAAATGTATCATTGTTGATTTAGAATCGCAATTTGTTATAATTACTCTAATATATCAAGCTAATATTAATTCTTTCATCCATACTCTTAACAGATACAAATATTACGATCCTCCTGACAGGAGTCAAGGTTCCAGTATATCCGGTAACGGAACATTTAGAGGCACGCTTGGACTCATTTGGAAACGTGTAAGTTATTTAACTATTGTTTTTAATGTATTTGTATTTCAATTCATTACTACGTAACATTCATTTTGCATAACTTAATAATTTGTTATATATATGTATAATGGTCTTACAGAAATTTTATCAAAATCGGTTTGGCCCATAGCTTGAAGACTTCAAATGTTCCATGGAACCAATCTATAAGTATATCCTTTCAAATATAAAAAGAATTTTTCAAATCGGTTTACTACTGACGCAGTTATGAAGTAACAACCTTAAAAAAAAATAGAACTTCCTTGTTTTCTAAGTCGCTTGAAAAGATGTTGTGTTGACTGACCCATATATCAATGCATAACCGAAACCGCTAAATCTAGAAACTTGAAATTTTGCAAATAAGTAATGAACAATAAGAAACTAAGTTTGAAAATTCAACCCCTAAAGGGGTAAAACGGGGGTTTAAAGTTTCTATGAAATTATCTCAGTTTACAAGTTAGATAATCTCTACTCATAAGATAGTTAAGAGCGAAAGCAACCGTGGGCAAAGACTAGTTTTAAATAAAGCATTTTCTACGATAAACTAAAATTGTTTATTTATATTTAGTGACCGAAAGTGTAGTCCTTTGGAAATAACAAAATCCTAATGTACTGCTAAAAGAGTCATTACGTTGAAATCTAAACTTATGTAGATAATTCATACTACATACACAAAACTCTGTTATGTCTATGATATTGTTCATGTCTATAGGCGACGGTTACCACTTACCACCAAGAGGACCGTCTGCTAAGTTAACAAAAAAAAACTTTACTGCATATTTACGCTCAACAGTCGACTACTGTTAGCCACAATGAATTTTTAATGTTAAAATCTAGAAAAACTTACTACATTTTTAACAGAAAGCAGATTTTTTCGTGGGCGACGTGACAATGACCTGGGAGCGGCTGCAAGCGGTGGAATTCTCATTTTTGACGTTAGCCGACTCAGGTGCATTCTTAACGCATGCTCCAGCCAAACTAAGTGAAACACTGGCCATCATCAGACCGTTTCAGTGGGAGGTAAATTAAAAAAATACTATTTCTACGTAACTGAAAGTGTATTATCGATGATTTTCGTGATGAAGCGCTAGGCGTTCCGAGTTCGATTCTCGATCAGACAAAAGAAAAGAACTTTTTAATTTTAAAAAGTTCTCATGCTTTATTTCGTAAGCTTTGGTTATAATGTTCTTGTTGTACCCTTAGATGTATGCTTGATTCTTAAAATACAATCTGTCCCATTCGTGTTTCAACCGTATAGAAGTTGTGTTTGCATAGCTGTGTTTCGGTTTGAAGGGTGGGATATGGCGTGAATTTACTGGGTACGGAGGAATAACACCTGAGTCCTCAGGAATGGCAACGCATGCGGGATATCATGGGCGAAACAGTATACTCTGTTATGTCCATGGTACTGCTCATGTCTATAGGCGACGGTTACCACTTTCCATCAGGTGGGCCGTCAGCTTGTTTGCCATTATAAGTAGTATTAAAAAAATACAAGGTATTCTTACTTGAAGACCAAACCACTGATGTGCTTATGTGGCACTTATAATTATTATTATTAATAATTTATTTATTTTTCCTATTAATATAATAAATACGAAAATTTGTGATGATGGATAAATGGATATATGGATTGGTATTTGTTACTCCTTAACGCATAAACTATTAAACGGATTTAAATGACATTTGGTATACAGGTAGGTTATATACTAACTTAGCACATATCCTGTATGCTAAGTTAGGATACCTAATCGACAACTTAAGAAAATGTTGTGTACACCTGTAATTGGTATAAATGCAAGATGCAGGCCTTGTGTATCAATTAAAATTAATGTCTGTATTTACACTGTTGATGTACCTTTTAAAAATAAATAAATAAATACATTATGTACTAATTCACGCGGGAGGAACCAAAAGATACAGCTAATGTAAAATATTTTACAAAAATGTTTCTTTTATTTCTAAATTCGACCAAAGTAGTCAGATAATTTTATTTTTAAAATAATTACAATAAATATTACCATTGGAGGGTCTATATTGTTCCTTATGGCAGTCAATGGAGGAGAGCTATGGACAAATAATGACTGACATGATGATGATGATAATAACCATTACACATAGTTTTGACGCAATAGTAAATATTTTTTTTTATACAACTTAGAATGGCAAACAAGCTGACGGCCCACCTGATGGAAAGTGTTAACCGTCGCCTATAGACATGAGCAGTACCATTGACATAACAGAATATACTGTTTCGCCCATTATACCTCCCATGTGTTGCCATTCCTGAGGACTCAGGTGTTATTCCTCTGTACCCAATAAATTCACGCCATATCCCACCCTTCAAACCGAAACACAGCCATGCAAACACAACTGCTTTACAGTTGAAACACGAATGGGACAGAGGTACCCAAGCAATCGACATATTTATTCACTTATTACATTTATTTATTCTATCAAATAAGGGAACTTGATAGTTTTCCAATTCGCTTCTTAGGAATCACAATATATGAAACAAAATAAAACATATACAAATAAGTACATATATAAAGCAGCCTCCATCCCAAGGGATCACACGAACCTGACGCCTCCTCAATTTTATCAGGTTCATCCGACTCCAGGGGGATTATGGTGCATGTACCTATTTGTTCTTTTTGGGCCTCCGCGCCGTAATAAGTATAACGGAACGTTTATAGGTCAATTTATTTTCTGTATAGGCTTTGAATTTCGTATCATTACACATACTGCTCACAATTTATAAAGGACGATGGCGTTTATAGAATTAGATGCGTAACCAAAACTGTGCAATCTGAATTATGGGTGTTAGCTAATTATATGTGAAATTATAAAAAGTTCTAATACCTTTCTAACCCTATTATACAGAGCGCAAAGGGATTGTTAGCAATGGAATTTGACAGCCCCATTGCTAGCAATATGCCCTATTAGATCGACCTCCCCGTTGTTCCCCTGGAAACTATCGTGAACAATTCTTGTTGAATTTGTCACGATGGGCTAACTGACCTGCTTCATCCTCACCTATCATCCTTCACTGGTGCCCCGCCGGTGTATACCGATAGCGCGGGTGGGGTTACCATTCCATTATCATCCATTAAAAAAAAACACTATTATACACACCTCTATATATTTGAACTATCCACTGCTGAAGATAAGCCCTCCCTCTTGGGGAATTTGCCAGTAGTTGCTACGCTTGACAGGCAGATTGGCAACCGCTATTAGGCTTTGGAGATGTTTCAAGAGGGACACTGCTGCCCATCCCATATAATATATATAATTTATATTTAACTATTTTTTCTAATATCCTACTGAAACCATAAATATAAAAGTTTGTAAAGATGTTTGGACATTTGTAACTCGTCACGCTTAAATGGCTGAATAGAGTTGAATGATATTTGTTACATAGATAGGTTTTAACGTAACGCATAGGATACTTTATATACTAATTCACAAAGATAATGCCGCAAAAAAACAGCTAGCTATAAATGAGAAAGTGAATTACCGGTAAAGACAAGAATAAAAAATAGCCTATGTCCTTTCCATATAGTATGTATATATCATAGTGTTTGATTAAGCGATTAAAGCGCCAAGAAATAACAAACAAACTCACTTTTACGTGTTTAAAAAATACCATTCAAAAATGCCTAAATGTATGATTACTTAAATAAATATTATTTCTATTTTTTTGCTGAGAAATTCCTTCCAGCCAACCTTCGATATACTTCAGGTATGGCCATTAGTCTGCGCCACTGTTCTGGTGACTGGACCAGCGCTGTGGGTGGTGATCGCAGCACCCTCGTTGTGGCAGAGACGGCGCCAGAACCAATGGGGACTCTTAAATAACTGCTGCTGGTTCACGACGACTCTCTTCTTGAGACAATGTAAGACTTTTTAATGTAATTTTTACTTACGTGTAATTATATCGAGATAACTCGACTAGTTTCATGACCAATTCGGGACCCTTAATCGTGAGCAGCTGTGACGCGTCACGAGCCTGACTGCGCGCCTCGGCCCGCTGAACGCAAGCTGTAGGCTTTCACGGCACCATCACAAATACTTGAACTATAGTTTTAAGTTAAACTAGTAATTATTACATTTAAATATGTGTGCTTACAAAACCGTAAAACATTCTCAAGAGTACAGTATGGAGTTCTTCAAACTGGGTATATTAAGGTTTCTTCAGGGTCGGCGCGGTCAACGCGCGCGTGACACCCCTAGTGTTGCAGGCGTCCATACGCTACAGTGACCGTTTACCATCAGACGGGCTGTATGCCTATTTGTCATCTTTGCAGTGTTTCAACTGTGAAGTAGTTGTGTTTGCATGGCTGTGTTTCGGTTTGAAGGGTGGGATATGGCATGAATTTACTGGGTACAGAGGAATAACACCTGACTCCTCAGGAATGGCAACGCATGGGTGGTATCATGGGTGAAACAGTATGCTCTGTTATGTGCACGTTACTGCTCATGTGTATAGGCGACGGTTACCACTTTCCATCAGGTGGGCCGTCAGCCTGTTTGCCATTCTAAGTTGTATAAAAAAAAATTATAAAACTATTAATATACAACTAAATAAATACATTGATTTGAGTCTTACAAAATTAAAGACAATATCATCGTACGAGTATAATAGATATGTTTCCTTTATTCATATAATTCACATAAGATCGTGTTTCACAAAAAAAAATATATTGTAACAAAACCAGTTACTTTGATTTAAAAATTAGACGATTTAGTCGATATAAAAAAAAACTAATCTGTAAGTTCAGATAAAAAAATAATTTTCCAAATCGGTTTACAACCGACTAAATTATGAGGTAACAAACATTTAAAAAAAAAACAACTGAATTGGGAACATTTTACGCTACAAAGTAGTTTTACGATGTATAGAATTTCAGTTGTATTACTCAGGTCATTACAATTTTCAATTTAAATAAACCTCGTTTAATATTATATTATACTTCTAAAATTTCATGTTATATTTATTAACTAGTGGCCCGTCCCGGTATGGCACGGGTGGACATTTTTACATTATAAAAAGTGGCCATTAAGGCTGCACACGCGACGGAAGCTTAAAAATGGAGTAACTTCTCCCGTTTTACCAACATTTCCCTTTACTGTTCTGCTTCTATTGATCGTAGCGTGATGAAAAGTATACTATAACCTGCCTAGGAGTATGAAGAATAATTGTACCAAGTTTCGTTAAAATCCGTCAAGTAGTTTTTGTTTCTATAACGAACATACAGACAGACAGACAAAAATTTTACTGATTGCATTTTTGGGGTCAGTATCGATCACTAATCACCCCCTGATAGTTATTTTGGAAATATATTTCATGTACAGAATTGACCTATTGATTGATATTTTTTATTTTATTTATTTGCGTGACCTTCTGATACAGGTGATAACACTTACTAGAAGCTCACAGAAACTATCTTAGTATTGTATCAATTTTGTTACGAAATAAATATTTTTTCATTTTTCATATTGACCAGATTTATTATAAGTATAGATAACAGACATGAAAAATGCTAAAAGAAATTTAAATAAAAAATACAAATTATAATAAAATACGTAATGGTCCTCATACACTGCTACTTAAGAAGATTACAATATTTTTCTAAAAATATAATTGTTGATACTTACTTATACTTGTTCACTTAATGATAGAACTGGATTACTCGCTCTTTTTTCAATACTGCATCTGCAAATTAATTTGTTCAATTAAAATGGTTACAGCATCCAGCAAGGAACCTTCAAAAACCCATAAGGCTAGATTAGTATCAGTTTTGGTATCTCTCGGAGCGACTTACGTCATTGGAGACATGTATTCGGCAAACCTGACAAGTCTTCTGGCGCGGCCAGCCCGAGAACAACCAATAGGAACTCTGCAAGCTTTAGAAGAGGCTATGAGGAACCGTGATTATGAACTTGTAGTGGAAAGGCATAGTTCTTCGTTAACCATTTTGGAGGTAAATTATAATTATATTTGGTCTCTCTTCTTAATTATCTTATGAGCAATTTAAAAAAGCGAAAGTGATTGATTTAAAGCAAAGGTAAGTCAATCATTTGTCTAGGTATTATTGAAAATCTTTATAAAAAAAATTAAGTATTGAAAAATTACAGCCCAATTTAGAAAGTAGTTAACTAGGCCACAGGCTTAGTGGGTTGCGGACTGAATTAGTCCATAAATCTTAAAAAAATATATATTTTTCATTTTTTTTTTTTTATCATTTATTCCAATAATTCACTATGGTTGCTGATCATAAGTCTCCTCCATAAAGCGTTAAAAATGATGTTAGATTTGCATCTGGTCTTTTCGCTCCTTTCATTGAAGAATCACCCTGCACTTTCTTTATTAGGTAGGCCTACATTGAAAGATCGCCTTGCACTTTGTTTATTAGATAGGCCTACATTTGTTACCTTCGGTCCATTTATTAAAGGATCAACCTGCACTTTCTTTATTAGGTAGGCCTACATTGAAAGAACACCCTGCACTTTATTTATTAGATAGGCCTACATTAATTACCTTCGGTCCATTCATTGAAGGATCAACATGCACTTTCTTTATTAGGTAGGCCTACATTGAAAGAACACCCTGCACTTTATTTATTAAATAGGCCTACATTTGTTATCTTCGGTCCATTCATTGAAGGATCAACCTGTACTTTCTTTATTAAGTATGCTAATATTAAAAGATCACCCTGCACTTTGTTTATTAGATAGACCTATATTTGGCACCTTCGCTCCGTTCAATGAAGAATCACCCTACACTTTATTTATGAGATAGGTCTACAATTGACATATTCGCTCCATTTATTGAAATATCACCCTGCACTTTCTTTATTAGATGGACTATATTTGTCACCTTCGGTCCATTCATTAAAGGATCATCCTGCACTTTCTTTATTAGATAGGCCTACATTTGTTTGTACTAAACCGTTACTCGAAAACTATTCAGTTCCTTCGGTTCATTCTTCAAGTTATGTATGTGACTAGTTCGATTAAAAATTACACTTCATGTTTAATAGAATGGGACAGGTGTATACGGCCGTCTCGCTAAACTGATGCGACGACAACGTATACAGCGTGTCCGCAGCGTCGAAGTAGGAGTACGGATGGTGCTCGCTCGCAAACACGTTGCCATCTTGGGAGGACGGGAGACCCTGTATTATGATACTGAGAGATTTGGTGTGTAAAATATTATGACAAATATTATAAATGACTATATGCAGTCATCAAATTAAATCATTACTTCAACCATAAATTATATAGTTGAGTCATAGCTTGACTATAGATTTTTTATTTCTAAATCTAAATAGTTGGCTTTGGACATCAAAAGATACATATCTTGTTTACTTTTATGTCTAATACTCTATTCTTAGTAATTTTACTGAAATCTTTTAGTATTTTTTGTAGTGATTTACTGTAGCCTAACTACCAATAGTTTTTTATACCTATAGTTTTTTTTTTTTTATATATTTTTTTATTTCTTTTTGTTTTTTGTTTTTAATGTGCACAGCAAAATTTACTTATTTATATTTTTTTCTATAATTTAATTAAATTTGTATTCCAGGCTCCCATAACTTTCACCTAAGTGAAAAGCTATATACTCGTTACTCTGCCATTGCGTTACAAATTGGCTGCCCTTTTCTTGAAACCTTCAATAATGTGTAAGTAGACAGTTTATTCACTGACATATCACACCCTTCAAAATGAAACACAGCCATGCCAACATAACTGCTTTACGCTTGAAACACGAATCGGACAAAGATATCCAAGTAAATAACTTTTGTATAAAGTCTCTGTGGAATTACTTTAGGATGCTTAAAGTTTGATCATTGTTATTCAAAATCGCAAAAAGCAGTCACATTTTATTAATTTGTTTTTTAAACTTCTAGAAATAAAGTGTCTTATAATAAATGTTTACTTCTATGTCTCTCAGAGTGATGACTCTATTTGAAGCTGGCATACTTGCTAAAATGACTACGGATGAATACAAAAACCTGCCAGAAAGATCGAGAAGATCTGAACCGGTGACAGAGAGTGACAAAGAAAGCAGTGACCTCACGGGAGAATCTATAGCTACGTCTCAGGTAGATATATTTTAAATTAAATAAGGACCTCTTAATAACCTCTTAATATCCCAATCATTCATTTAAAAAAAAATAACTGGTTTTTCCAGGATTGATATCTTTTTTTTTTTCTGGAACACAATCATAAGTTATTATAATTTGTGTTAATGTATTTTATGTATAATACTTAACGTTACAAAATAAAAATAAAACATAAATGTAAAGCAAAAAACACAAAAACTTACAATTTCATTTCATCACACCAGATGCAAGGGGAATCCACAAAGGGTTTAGAACCAGTGTCTTTGAGAATGTTACGCGGAGCATTCTGTCTGCTGGGCATCGGATATCTTGTAGCAGGTAAACTTTTCTATTTTGACCGACCTCATATTTGCGTGGAATGGAAATATAAAGAAAGAAGAAAGAAAGAATTATCTCATAACATATTATTTTTCATAAAAGATAAAATATGAGAAGCAACACTAACGTCACTGTATATTCTGCGACGGCTTTACTGTTCTTTTTTTAAAGGGTAATAATGAAATGGTAATCCCACCTACTACACGATGATTTCATTGAGGAGGTCGACCTAAAAGGATTTATTGCTAGCAACGGAACTTGTGATCCGCGTTACTAACAATCCCTTCCCTCCCAGAGACTCGAAGTAAAAAGCACAGTTGAAGAGTTCACCGAAAATGGACAGGGATTGCACATGCTAAAAACCGCCCTATTAATATTTCAGCTTTGGCCCTTGGGATCGAGATACAAGTGCATAGAAGAACCAAGAACCGCATCACTGTGTCTGTACGCACTGAAACGAGAAAAGTGCCGAGATGTCTTCTATTAGGCAAAATGAAGAAGTACCTTAGAGATGGATTGGCAAGGATCACCAGATTGGTCTATAATTATATCGATAGGGCTTTAGGGCCGGGGATATAGATACAAATAATAATAAATAGTTAAGAAACGATTACAGAAGAAGACTTTGTACAAAAGTCGATTGCTTGGGTACCTCTGTCCCATTCGTGTTACAACCGTGAAGCAGTTGTGTTTGCATGGCTGTGTTTCGGTTTGAAGGGTGGGATATGGCGTGAATTTACTGATTACAGAGGAATAACACCTGAGTCCTCAGGAATGGCAACGCATGGTACTGTGTACATATACATGGTACTGCTCATGTCTATAGGCGATGGTTACCACTTTCCATCAGGTGGGCCGTCAGCTTGTTTGCCATTCTAAGTTGTACAAAAAAAAATCTTTTTACTGAACTGAATTAGGTGTTATCTTGTTGAAGTGTTGTCACTGGTTATTTAATTAGAAGTCTTTAAGTGTTGACAGTCGCACGCATACTGATGGTAGCGGAATTAAACAAAACAATTCTAAATAATCTTCATGTAGTCCCGGCATAGAATAGGCCACCCCTTCCTTTTCCTTGGGTTTCGTAAGAGGCGACTAAGGAAGGGCGAGGGATGGGCAGCAGCTGCCCTCTTAAAACATCTCGAAAGCCTAACTGCAGTTGCCAATCCGTCTGCTTACCGTGGCAACTACTGGCAAAACCCCCCAGGGGAAAAGCTTATGTTCAACTGTGAACAGTTAAAGGCTGGTATGATGACGATGATGATGATGAATTCTAATTAAATAACCAATGACAGTATTCTTTTCGAATACGGTTTCATAGATATTCATTCCTTCATATACGTGTATAGAGGTTTTTTAGCTATTAAAAAAAAAACAAAATTTATGGACATAATCCTTTTGCACTTAATTGTTAATATTAGTCACAATACTGTATACCTTTACTTACTGCGTATAGTAATAAACAGTAAACCTTTTATAAAAAAATATTTTATTGTCTATTATGCAAACTTTTTTTTTATTTTAACGATAGGGCTGATATACCTTCTTTAGGTATATCAGCCCTATCGTACCCTGAACTGACTTCTCAAAAAAATTTTATCTACTTTCCCTAGTCTTGAAAAGAGAGGAATGTGACTATTGTAAAATGTCTAATTATATAACTACTAGTTTACGTGTAATTTGGTCGAGAAAGTTCGACTAGTTTCAAAACCATCTGGAACCCTTAGTCTTGTGCGACGCGAGCGAGAACCTGACTGCGCGCCTTATTGTGAAATAATCTAAATATTTCTTATTATAAGTTTATGGGTTATGAATGTTAATTCCCATCTCTTACAAACCTTAAATCATGCAACGCAAAAGTCTAAAAATAAATAAATGTTTTTCTTTTTTTTCTGTATTTCTTAATTACTTTACAACGCATCAATAATAATTAATTTTGTGATTCCAGTCAGATACATCCGATCTGTTCGTCGGCTCATCTAATAATGTCCCTTCCTGACCTGGGCTCCCCGTGGAGCGATTAAATGTTTAGTCGCCATCTTGAGCCCTACTACCCTGTTTCCAGTAATTGACGCAGGAGACACGGTGTTATTTAGAACAATATAATTAGCATTGCATAATTAATATTACATATTTGTACTTATAATATAGTAAACCAAATATACATAATATATACAGAAGTAACTATTATATTTTTGTTTCTTATTTCAGCCGTTAACTGTCTACTGCTGAACACAAGTCTTCCCTATAACCCTTTCAGATCTGAACGATACGGGCGTGAGTTGTAACTTTTAAAAATTCTAAAACCGCGCGCAATTCATTTTTACGCACGAAGCTGAAATAACATGATAGTGAGATTCTAAACCAGCCAATAAGAAATCATTTTAGCGGTTAGGCGGTGCAGTAGTCTCGTGCGTGCCGGCAAAATAGCTTGGCTCCAAAACACGAAAATATATTTAATCTGAAAAAAAAATCTTGGGTCTGATAAGGGTAGTTTCACCAGTAGTTGCCATGCTTGGCAGGCGGATTGGCAATCGCAGTTAGGCTTTTAGAGATGTTTTAAGAAGGATGCTGCTGCCCATCCCGCACCCTCATTTATTCGACTCTTACGACACCCAAGGGAAAAGAAGGAGTGGCCTATTCTATGCTGATACCACACAACGAACTACTATATTAATATCTTTAAATGACTTGACAAACAAGCGAGCTGCTGCAATAGAATAGGAATCTTCTTTATTCAAATAGACTTATTTGCAAGCTCTTTTGAATTGTACTTTTTTTATAATTCTACAGCTGGATTTCAGAATGTAGTTATCTGAGAAAAACTGCCGTAAGTAACTCGAGACTTAATATTTTCTAGTCTGTATTAACATTATGTGTATTTATTTTATTTAAATTTAACTTCTAAATAACATAGTTCTTTTACGTTTAAAATCCATATATTATCAACTAATACCATACACGTTTTTCATCTAAGTAATCCTTTAGTTTTAAATTATATAGATAAAGCGTCGAGCCTTAAAAACAGGTTAACTTTTTGTCAATTAATTGCATAAAATGTATCTTGACTCTTGACGTATTATTAAATAAATAAAATAAATATTGACGCATTAAAAAGATGCAAAAATTATAAGACAAAATAAACATAAAAGTCATAAAGGAATCACTTATAAATATTTATCACGCAAAATTGTATGAAAAAGTTGATCCGTTTTTCTCGAAGTAATTCTATAGAGACACTTTATATGATCTAAGATTTTAGTATACAAAAATAGGTTTTAATCAATAATTGTTTCAAAATTATTTAAATATATAATATAAAAAATATTCTACTGCAGCCTATCCCAAAGTGGGCGATAATGCCCCCTTGTGGGCGCTGCAAGCCTAAACGGGGGCGGTAAGAGCCCAGAAAAAAAAATGGGAGCGTTGTGTAGATCTATATAAATAATAATCTTCCTCTCTACACTTCGATCATATTAGAATTCAATATAGCAGACCTATCACCATTATTCGAATTAACTTACAATTAGTTTATGATCGGTTTTTCCTAACAACGGAAAGTTAGTCGAAAATTTATATTGACACAAGTTTTGATTGTTGCTCAGATTCGACCCTCGACGGTGTTATAAGACGAATTTCTTTTGAATACTGTAATGTTTTTTTTTTGTAATAGGCGATAATGGAATGGTAACCCCACCCGCGCTATCGGTATACACTGGCGAGGCACCAGTGAAGGATGATAGGCGAGGATGAAGCAGGTCAGTTAGCCCATTGTGACGAATTCAACAAGAATTGTTCACGATGGTTTCCAGGGGGAACCACGTGGAGGTCGACCTAATAGCATATTACTAGCAATGGGGCTGTCAAACTCCATTGCTAACAATCCCTTTCCCCCCTATACTGTAATGTTAATATCATAGTTTATGTCCTAGACTCAAATTTAGGGTCGTTTTATTAAATTCCCATTCAACGGTATACAAACAAACAAAAACCCATAATTTACTCAGCCGATTCACTCGGGACCCCAATAAAATGAATGTCCTATGAGAATAGAGTCATTGTAAGACATAACACCGAGAATTCGTGACACACGGTACTCTAAAATCAGAAACCAATGTAAATAAACTATTTTTTTATATTGTTTTGTAACTATTATATTACAAAAAAAATACACATAAAAGATATATTTATTCATATAGTTTCATACTCTTACAGGATATTTTACGTTCTTCTTTAATTGATTTAAAAAAAGAAAGAGAGTTTTCAGTTTCGGTTGTATTTTTTATGTTTGTTTGTTACTTCAGAACTCTAACATTTTTAAAACGATTTTTATAAATTTAGATTTTTTTTTTCTTATTATTTCAAAGGATGTACTTTCTAATTAGTCCCATAAAAATATCATCAAAATCCATTTAGAGTTTCTTTTTTAAATAAAAAAAAATAATTTAAAATAAAATTTATGATTATGCTTAGTTTCACAAATATTCAAAATTGTTTTATTTTTTTGTTGAGCAAAATCTACTAGTTTACCAGTTCAAATAATAACTTTAATTAGTGGTAAGAGGAATTGGCAAAAAACATAACTGTTACTATTTTCAAACAAATTTATATTGTACAATGTGCTACAAATATTTTAAAAGTTGCGTTATAAGTTACGGAAATATACATATGACCTGAATAATATCAGTAAATACGATTATAAGTGAATTGAATTAAATTTATTTATTTTAGTCGACAACGCGCGCGTAGTACCCCTGGTATTGCAGACGTTCATAGGCTACGGTAACCGCTTACCATCAGATGGACCGTATTGCCATATGGCCGTTACCCACCGCAGTGATATAAAAAAAATAATAGAAAAAAAAATCACTCGCTCAGTAATTTTAACGGTCGTGTGTGTCGTGCAAGAAGGACGAGCCGTCCTCATTGAATTAGAACAGCAGCGAAAGCCCACTAATGAAGTTAATCCGAGCCAAGACAGTAACATCGTCTGTTGCGTGAAACATCCGTGTTACACAGGCCGAATTACACTAATTTGCTTACTTACTTCCATTTACAAATAAAACATTAGGAGATAGAAATAAATTAGTTTTGTAAGTAATTGCGACGCTGGTGACGTACTGCTCAATAACATGCATGAATCAGTGTTTAGTATTATGTGGTAAATAGCTCGAAGTATCGACTAAGTCCCTTGTGGTCCCAGCATAGGACAGGCCATCCCTTCCTTTTCTGTGAGTGTCGTAAGCGACTAAAGGAGTGCAAGGGATGGGCGGCATTGTCTCTCTTAAAACATCTTCAAAGCCTAACTGCAGTTGCCAATCCGCCTGCCAAGCGTGGCAACTACTGACAAAACCCCACTAGGGAGAGGCTTATGTTCAGTAGAGGCCAATTAAAAGCTATGATAATGATGATGATTGTAATGATGATGATCGACAATAAAAAGAGAGATTCTCAAGTGGCAACCCCATATAAACAAACACAGTGTAGAACGATCCACCACTGGATAAAGCGATGAACTCGATACAGAAAGTTATTTGACACAAGTGGTTTAGAACCGTTTCTTGTAGCATATAGGATGGGAAAGGATGGAAGTGACTATTTTTAGCTATTGCTGAATATAATTTTTTTTTATACAACTTAGAATGGCAAACAAGCTGACGGCCCACCTGATGGAAAGTGGAACCGTCGCCTATAGAACATGAGCAGTACCATGGACATAACAGAGTATACTGTTTCACCCATGATACCCCCCATGCGTTGCCATTCCTGAGGACTCAGGTGTTATTCCTCTGTACCCTGTAAATTCACGCCATATCCCACCCTTCAAACCGAAACACAGCCATGCAAACACAACTGCTTCACGGTTGAAACACGAATGGTACAGAGGTGCCCAAGCGACTTTTGTACAAAGTCTCCCTCTGGTATAATTTTGCAATAGTTCAAAAAAAGTTATGATTTTGGCGAAAATTCATTTAATCGATACATCAAAAGCCCAAAGTAGGATCCATAAACGGAAAGTGATGCTTTGTAATCATGAATCCCGACGATAAAATCACTGAACAATGGAAATTTTGTCAATAATTTTTAAAATATTTCTTTCATTATCATTTTATTATTTTAACAAGTTCTTGTTACGTTGGGACGCAAAATTTTAAAAAAATTTCATGTCGAGTAGTCCGTCTGTGTGTCACGGCTATTTTTCTCAGTAACTACTATTGCTATCGACTTGAAATTTGGCACAGTTGTAGAAGTCATTTGCCAGAAACTATTCCCAGTGAAAGAGTTACAGAAATATTTTTATTAAAACCAACCGAGGGAGAAATTGTGAACTTGATTTTTATGCGGCGTGTAAAACAATTTGAAGGAATCTATTGAAACGATGTGACACAAGCAAGTTTCTTTAGTATGTTAAGTCTATGTTTTCTATAAAATTTATCACTATAATCTATGTCTATTCCCGTGGGGTTTCGGCATAGAATAGGCC